TTTTTTTTTTTTTGTAAATACAGGGAAAACATTCTTTGGGGGAGGGTTTCATCCCAAGATAATGAAGCTTGAGATCTCTATCCATTTCCCATCTTCACAGGTATGAAGACTATGTGGACCAGCATTATAAGGAATTCCTCAAGAACCAGGGCAAAGTGGACTCGGTGAGACTTGAAGAGTTAGTGAGAGACAAGATGCAGAAACAGGGCTGGAGGGTTAGCTCAGTGGTAGAGCACTTGCCTAGCATGTGAGGCCTGAGTTCAATCCCCAGTGTTGCAAAATCAACAAAAAGATTAGAAGCAGAATGTGGGTGAAAAGTTTTCTTTTCTCCCTCTGGTCATCTCTTCTGAACTATCTTTTGCATTACTCTCTAGCTGGTGGGTGTGGACGTGATTGCTGCTTTGGACCTGTATGTGGAGCAGGGCCAGTGGGACAAATGCATTGAAACAGCTACCAAGCAGGTGCTCCTCTCTCCTCCCCATTCCAGCTCCTCTCTACATATTCCCTTGATTTTCTGCCAGCTCCAGAGCTGCCTCTCTCACCTCTACCAGAATCTAATCTCCAGAGATCCTAATCAGAACCAGAGAGTACAGTCTGATGCTGCCTCATATTCTGATATTGGAGTCAGAGTTGCATATGCCCATTGCCTCCTAAACAAGTCCATGGCTTTAAGTTACCACCTCCTCCCTGCCTGTCTTACCAATTCCTACCCTCACCTGTGCTTTTCCTCCATCCCTGGACAGAACTACAAGATTTTGCACAAATACGTGGCTTTGTATGCAACTCACCTGATCCGGGAGGGTGGCTCTGCCCAGGCACTGGCTCTCTATGTGCAACATGGAGCTCCTGCTAATCCACAGGTACCAGCCTTCTCCTTGAGGCAAATGTTTCCACCAGGGGATTCTTTCTTCCTCTAGAATTACCCATCCCTTCAGGGACTAGTCTTCTCAAAGGATTCTGCCCTTTGAGAACATCATGGCCAGAGTCCCCATCCAACCTCTCCTGATGTGTAACCTCTCAAGAAGACTTACCCTTTGAAGAAACATCCAATGAGCTATTTGTGCTCTTTGTACCCAAGGACCTGTCTTTCAGAGGAGTCCTGCACACTCCTCCAAGGCTTACTTATTGACTTTCCTCAGAGAATAAACACTGCCCTCCTATCAGAGAAACACAGCTCTCTAGAATATTAGTCCATTAATATTATGACTGCATTTTCATTCATGTATTTTCCCAAACTCAAGAGTTCCAGCTTATAAGTAGTTACTTTCTCTCTCTTAACATAATCAGCACTTTTCTCTATCAATGTCCCCTTGCTTCTACACACACAGCTGGGCACAGTGGCACACCTACAATCTTATCAACTTGGAAGGCTGAGGCAAGAGGATCAGAAGTTTGAGGCAAGCCAGCCTCAGCAATTTAGTGAGATTTTGTTTCAAAATAAAAAGCAAAGAAGGCAGGGGATATAACTCGGTGGTAGAGCACCTCTGGCTGGGCTTGATCCCTAGTACCCCCCCCCCCAAGAAAAACCCCACACATAAACACTCTCCTCCATTTGGCTCCACTTCCACTGACTTTCTCTCTTGCTTGAGCCCCACACTCTGATCCCCCTTCTCCCTCAACCTCTAGAACTTCAACATCTACAAAAGAATCTTCACGGACATGGTCAGCTCTCCTGGGACCAACAGTGCTGAGGCCTATCATAGCTGGGCCGATCTTCGGGATGTCCTTTTTAACCTGGTGAGGAAGTTGGGTCCACAATGGAGTAAAAGGGCTTCTCTTGGGCTGGGGATGTGATGGGTAGAGCACTTGCCTAACATGTGCAAGGCTCTGGGTTCAATCCCTACCTAATACTGCCAAAACTCCTCCACCTGTCCCCATCCCAGTCTCTTCTTTCATGCACATAAACCATAAACTGTTACTCTCAAGATGTATTTTACCCCCCTCTGTCCAGGTAGCCATCAGTGACTTCTCTGTCACACTGGCCCTTCTCTGACCCCTGAGCCAGCCTCACTCTCTTCCTTCCCTAGTGTGAAAACCTGGTGAAATCCAGTGAGGCCAACTCTCCAGCTCATGAGGAGTTTGAAACGATGCTGCTGATTGCTCATTACTACGCCACTCGCTCTGCAGCCCAGAGCATCAAACAGCTGGTGAGATGCAGTGCGGGGAGATGAGGTGCAGGGATCTTCAAACCTATGAAGCTGAATGAATCCAAGTTCTGGATTCCTGAGCTTAGATTCTTGGACTTCCCCTCTTCTATATAAATCAGTCTTCAACCTTTGCTGAAGTGGGTATTCTTCCCATACTGTCTTGACCTTCTTAGGGCTTGAGACCCATACAGCTTCAGATTATTTTTTTGTTAGATCTCCAGCATCCGACCCATGCTAGGCAAGCACCCTACCACTGACCCACATCCCCAGTACAGTTTTAGTATGTTTAAACCTTCAAATTCTATGATTTCTTTATTCAACCCATATAATGCACACATTATTTTATTTATTTACTTATTCATTTATTTATTTATAGTCCTAAAGATTAAACCAGGGGCATTCTACCTCTGAGCTACATCCCCACCATGTATACACACGTTTGACTTATTTTTGATAATTTGCTGTGTATTTATTTCATATAGTTGGATGACAGAATTCTAGAAATGGAAGGAAGCTTAGAAATAATCTAGGCCCAGTTCTGTTGTGCCAGTGAAAGAAACTAAGAGCCAAACAGCTTGAGATACAGATCAGTTTAACACTGATTATTGGTTTTATAGTTTTGTGGCTATTAGTTACAGGATCATTCATCTGGTAGCTCAGCCACTAGTGCCAAGATCCTAAAGCTTTGCTTTCAATCTCTAGGAAACTGTGGCTGCCAGGCTTTCTGTTTCACTCTTGCGTCACACCCAGCTACTACCTGCAGATAAGGCCTTCTATGAAGCAGGCATTGCTGCCCAGGTGAGCTGAAACAAGGAAGGGTGGGGCTGAAGCTAGAACAGAGTCGGAAGATAGAGAATATCCCTTGAGCTAAACTGAGTGTGGGGTAGATACAGGTCTCTTATATCTGCTTGCAGTGTGTCCCTGTATCCAGTGGCATCCAAGCTCAGCTTGCTCTTTCCCATTTGCTTTTTTTTTTTTTTTTTTGCCATAGGCAGTTGGCTGGGAGAACATGGCCTTCATCTTCCTCAACCGCTTTTTGGATCTTACCGATGTAAGGAATCATGTGCAGAGGTTGGGAGGCTTTGCCTGTCACAAGCTGTACTTATGTCATGGTGTCCACTGTGCCATAGGCTATCGAAGAAGGGACTCTGGATGCCCTTGACCACTCTGATTTTCAGGATACAGACATTCCATTTGAGGTGCCACTACCAGCCAAGCAGCACATACCGGTAAGGGTGCAAGGTTGGAAAATGGGAAGGTGTCAACAAAGGAGTGCATTAAGAAGGCAGGACAGGGGCAGGAGTTGTGGCTCAGTGGTAGAATGCTTGCCTAGTATGTGTGAGGCACTGGGTTCAATTCTCAGCACCACATATAAATAAATTATAAAATAAAGGTCATGGACAACCAAAAAATATTAAAAAAAAAAAAAGCTACAGGGATGCGCACACCTGTAATCCCAGCAACACACCTGTAATCCCAGCAACTTGGAAAACTGAGGCAGGAAGATCTCAAGTCTGAGACCATCCTGGGGAACTTAGCAAGAACCTATTTCAAAATAAAAATAAAAACGGGCTAGGGTATAGAAGAAAGGAGGACAGCTTTGGGTTGCCATCTTTAGTAGGACCTCAGCTCTCATTATTGTCCCTCAATTCAAGGAGGATCATTTATGGCTGAAAAGCTGGTGTACAGGATGAGGGTATAGGAAATCCCATCCCCCGAGCCATTTGCCCTACCCTCTGTGAAGCTCTTGCTCCCTCTGTCCCCACCAGGAAGCCCAGAGAGAAGAGGTTCGAGACTGGGTACTCACAGTCTCAATGGACCAGCGGCTGGAGCAGGTTCTGCCTCGGGATGAGCGTGGTGCCTATGAGGCTTCCCTAGTGGCAGCAAGCACTGGAGTTCGGGCACTTCCCTGCCTTATCACAGGTATAGAACCCCACAGCACCCCCTTATCCTATGGAGGGGAAAGTAGAAGGATCAAGAAACTTTATTTTGTCAGGCGCAGTGGCACACACCTATAACCCCAGCAGCTCTGGAGGCTAAGACAGGAGGATTGCGAGTTTAAAGCACCACATATAAATAAATTATAAACGGCGAGGCGTTTAGCAACTCAGCGAGACCCTGTCTCTAAATAAAATATAAAATGTGGCTGAGAATGTGGCTGAATGGTTGAGTGCCCCTGAGTTCAATCTCTGGAACCAAAAAAAAAAAAAAAAAAAAAGCATCATTTCACTTTAATTTAGTAAAGGGCACCTAAGACAAATGATAGCCATCTTTATCCCCAGGCTTCTCTTTATTTCCACCCTCTTCAATCTCTCTCAAACTCTAGTTCTTCTTTTTCTCTTCTCCCACAGGTTACCCCATTCTGAGGAACAAAATTGAATTTAAGCGTCCAGGGAAGGCTGCTAACAAGGACAACTGGAATAAGTTTCTTATGGCTATTAAGGTTAGAGAGGGAAACTTGAAAGCAGGCAGGGAGAACAGCATTGCTGGAGGGGCTGGGAAAGGCTGGGATTCTTTCAGAAGATAGGTGCAGACCCTGCATTTGCTCCCCAGGACACGGAGATGAAGCTGATGTCCAATGTACCAGCTCTAATGAGTTTCTGTGATGTTCTTTCCCTTTACTCACAGACCTCCCACAGCCCAGTATGCCAGGATGTGCTGAAATTCATCAGTCAGTGGTGTGGAGGGCTCCCCAGCACCAGCTTTTCCTTTCAGTGACTGGTAAAATTGAGGAAGGGTTTGGGCCTCTCCCTCATTAAAGTTCTGTAAGAAATTGATACCACTGTATTCTTTGATGAATCACCCCCAACACCAGCACAGTACCCTTTCCCCAAAAAAAGAATTATAACCAAGTAGAAAAAAGAGAAGTTCTTTATTACAATTATCGATACCATCCTGGTGTCAGGGCCCCTTGTTTAGTGGAAAACACTTGTGGACTGAGCCTTGGAACATCACCTGCCTGATAAAGGAAGAACCAATCCAGGTCAGAGAGAGGAGCAGCACAGTAAAGAACTAGCCCTGGTCCCAAGAACACTTCCATGTCCCCTCTCTAACCCAGACCCCCACTCTCAGGGCCCTTTACCTGTCCTAAACCCAGGTTTTCTGTGACTCCTGGATTTCTTGATGTTGATCTAGTAGCTGCACATTTTCCTGCTGTTTACATTTAGGAGGTTCAAGCTCTGTCAGTTCCTCTAGCTGCAGGAGAGGGTGGAGTTTGTACCATGGCCCTGAATGATACATCAACTCCTTTGTAACACAGACTGGCTGTATTGAGTGAACCCTTCCGGTTTCTCTTCCTTACCTGCCCCTGAAACCCTTCCTTCCTGCAGGGCCCAATTCCACGCAGGGTGAGTGCTGCCACACAGCAGTAACCAGATAGAGCAGCCTCAGCTGCAGACATAAGCAGAGAAGGGATCCAGAGAGCCAAGGCTGTATCCTAAAAGCAGAAAGCAAGGATGAGGGCTAAAAGGAAATGTGACATAAGCCGCAAATGAGGAAATTAAAAGGGCAAGACCAAGGCTTTCTGAATGGCAAGAAAGCACTCACATAGATTCTTGTGGGGTCAAAGGGGCAGTCCGTGTGACCAGACCCCTGGTCCAGTGGGATGGAAGGATCCAGCAGTCCTGGATGGCAGTCAGCAATAAGTCTACGACCACCATTGGCCACAGTGAGTGACACAGCAAGGAGAAGACCCATGGAGCAGGCAGCAGACAAGAGCAAGTTCACTAGAGCCAGGGCCAGCAGGGCCCAGTGCTGGCAGAGCAGAAGATTAATAATGGTGAGCAGCCTAGGCCTAGCAAAGTCTGCCAATAACTAGACAGTTTTCTATTTGAGGCTCCTTCTTCACATTGAAAAAGCTGAGACAGTTCCTCCGCCCTACCCCTCTCAAGCTCCAGAAGTCCCCTCTCACCAGTGGTGAACGAACAAGGTTCTTGGATGCCAAGAGAGCCACAAGTCCCACGGAAACACTCTGCGGAAGATACCAAGCCTTTGGCCCACAGGCGCTCTGCATGTCGCTCCCTACCCGCCCCCCCCCCTGTCCCCCCCCCCCCCCCCCAGGCTCTCACCAGCAGCCCTGAACCCACAGAGATGACATTGGCGGTGGTGTACTCCGGTGTGACAGCGCCACGGGGGTTGGCCACGTGCCTCAGGACAGTGCCGTGCAGCACGGCCCCCAGCAGCAGGTTCACGTGGCCCACCAGGATCAGCGCTAGGCCCACGCGCATCAGCCGCCGGGGCCCGCGGGCTGCATCTGTAAAGCAGGGGGAGGGCAGACCTGAACCCGGAGGGGCAGGTGGCACGTAGGGCCAGCTGTCGCCTGTAGGACAGGCTGAGGGGTCTCAGGGACCGAGGGGAGGGGCGGAAGTTACCAAACACGCAGAGGCGGTAGCACTTCATCCCGTGGGTTGCGTAGCCGCCCGGCGGCTCTACCTGGGTCTGGCCCCGCCCCGCCAACCGTGAGTTCAGCCCCGCCCCCCCACCTGACGCCCAGCCTCCACAGCCCCAAGGCAGCTCTACCTGGGCCCCGCCCCTCCACCTGAGGCCCGCCCAATGGGCGGCTGCACAATCTGCTGCACTGTCCCTGGGAGGCGCAAACACACGACAGTTTTAGCAAAAAGTAGACTTTATTTCAGCAGCAACTGAGGCGAATCGAATGGCCCCCCAGGGCCACCACTGCAGCACCACCTTTCTCTCCCGCCCATCCGCCCCAGCGGGATTGTAGAACTCGGCTCCCCCAGTGCCCATGGGCCTCCCGTCCACACAGGCTGGGCGGAGCCGCCAGGTCAGCTACTAGCCCCCAGCTAAAGGCGGCTGCTGAGAAGGCCCAGGCCCATGTCTGTGCAAAACAAGTAAACAAAGTGCAGAGGGGAGGAAGAAAGGGGGAGGGGAGCACGATGCTCAGAACCAGGGAGCCCTTAAAGCCCTCCTGAATGATAAAGGACTGAAGGGGCTTCACAGGGTAATACTGACTGGGGGGAGGGGCAGGAGGGCTGCAGCTTGTCCAGGGACAGCCACAGCTCAGATAAGGGCCTGGCCCGAGTGAGCTCTAAGAGGAGACGGTGACAGCGGCTGAGTTGATGGTGTTGTTCCTGGCAAAATTGAACTTGTTCAGGGTCTCCTCCAGCAGAGAAGTCAGTCGGCTCTGGTCAGCCTGGGAAGAGGAGCTCAGTGAGGTGGGCTGAGATAAGAGAAGGCAGGGAGGCAGCCAGGGTAGAGGAAGGTAGGCAGGAACCTCACCTCACTAATGAAGCCCAGCTGCACCAGCTCAGCTGCCAACTCTGGGATGTTCTCATCTGACAAAGAAACAGGAGGGCTGAGTATAGTAGGAAGGGACACAGAGCTCTTCAAATTTTAGGGGCTAAGACAGTTATTCTGTGGGAGCAATATTTTACTGACTTGTCATCTTCCCACCCCTGAATATGTCCCTTAAAGATAAAGCTCACAGGCCCTCCATCCTCCAAGCAAAAGGAGAGACTCACTTGGCATCAGATCACAGCTCAGGTGCCGGTTCAGTTTGTCCTCCAGCTTCAGCAGAAGTGTTAACTAGAGAACAAGACCAATAAATAAATAAATAAGGCTCCTCTTCCTCCACCCTCTGCCCACCCAGTCCTGTGCAGTCCTGGCCTTGAGCCTTACATGGTGTTTGACTCCCTCTTCCACTGATTCAATGTTGCACTGCATCAGCACCACCTAGGACACAACAAGACAGGAAAATTACTGGAATAGAAAGCAGTCACACCTGGAAGCCTTCATAGGCCACACGACACGATGACCAGAGGACAGAAACACACACTTTTTCTCTAATGGGTAAGGCTTATTTGAGCTGCCCCTTCCCCAGTGACCATGGACACATTCACACCTACATAGCCCCCACCTTGCGGGTTTCCACCTCGGCTGGCTCAGGTGTTGGAGTCTTAACAGAGGGGGGAACTACAGGTGATGTCACCTCCTCCTGCTGTGGCTGCTGGGGCCTAGGCAGCCCAAAGGCTGTCAGAGGGTAGATCCCATTCCTGGAAAGAGGTAAAGACAGGTTACATGGGGCTCTGGAGTACCTTAGGACACCTGCCCCTGCGTCCTTAAGGAAGCCTGCCTCACTCTTCCCTTACCTGACATCTTCAAGGAATTTGTCTAATTCCAGAGCTGGTGATTGGGAATACCTAAAGAAGAAAAGAAAGATAATGGAAGTAAGGGAACAAGCAAAACAGCAGACTCAACCTTTCCCTGAGAACGAGCATTTTACAGATCCTCAGAGTGGTAGTGACCCATTTGTCCCTTTTAGACCCTCTCAGTTGGTTACTCACAAAGTTTGAACTGCTTCTCTTCCTGGACCTGCAGGGATTTCAGCCAGTACAGCACTGGTATCCATGTTTTTGGTGATCTCCTCCAGAGCGTTCTCTGGGATCATGTCTGGAGGGCATGATGGAGTAGAATGTTATGAATAGTGGAATGGAAGCACAGGGCCAAAGAATCTCTTTGGAAATAGAAGAAAGAGAGCATGCCAGTGAGAGTTGGAAGAAAATTCCTAGTAGGGTTCAAGGGGACTCACGTTGGTGACCCACAATGCAATGGGCAGCAAGGAGTTTGAGTGAGGGCACTTCAAATAGTGCTGGGTGGAAGAGAAGTTCTCTGGCTGTTGGTCTGCGTGCAGGCTCAGACTGCAGGCACTTCTGAATGAACTCCTAAAAAAAAGAGTTAAGAACTGGAGCAGGCATCTGGCAAACACCCCACCAAGTTCATCTTTAAAGCTCTCATTACAAGGCTTTGCACACACTAGGTGTTCAGCACTTGTGGAGAAAACACTGACAAATGTACTTGAAAGGGGTTTGAAAATATAAGATAGTATATCAAAAGATATCATTCACTGTCTTTCTGGTCTTAATTATTTTTTATTCTCGAACCACAATCTTTTAAATATTTTTCAACTTTTCCCTTCCCAAATTTTACCTATTGTGGTAATATTCACTTTATTTCCCAGGCCTAGTATCACAATTTTTTGTCTACTACAATCACTGAAATCCACTGGATTTCCCATGCTTTCTTTAACCATGCTAATCCTTTTTTACCTCCTGGAGGTCCCATGACATAACCTTTCTTACTTTCAGTCTTAAAGGCCAATAAGATCTGATACCTAATTTTTCACTTGAATATTCTACCACAATGTGAACTAGAAACTTATTTCACACTGCACTCAAGACTTCTAGCTTTTCTTCTTTCCTTTCCTGTTCCCCGTTATATTTATCTCTAATGAGTTACAAACTAGTCTTGTTTGGACTTTCTTGTCCAGCTTCTACTTATTATAGTCAGTCTATCTACAGATTCGTATTCCCTAGGTCCTTTCAATAGGTCATTATTTCCAGGAACCTTCTAACTAAAACTATAAATATGAAATCCCCAAATGACTGATTTGATTAATTTAAAGTGATTATTTTGCTTTCAAATGTCAAGAGAATTTAGCAACTGTGTACAGTAACCATCAAATTAGTTTACCTCCATTTAGACACACTTCAATTAACATAAAATTTTTAACCCCAATATTACCATCTTAAGCTCTAACCTGTTGTATGTATACAAAAACAAGGTAGACACCTCTTAGGGAAATTTTACATTTTTGTCTTTTTCTGCTTTATGTTTTCCTGCTCAAAGAGTCTAAGTGAAGAAAAAATATGAAGACACCTGAAAGTCAGTTAAGAAGGCAGCAATCCTGAAGAGCCTTACCCTCTGTAATGAGTCTTCTAGAAGCTGGATGGCACTGCTGATGGCTTCTTGTGGCACATATGAAGACTCTCCATTGCCCTGAATCTCCAGCACTGCCATCTGCAGTGAGGAGGAATCCAAAGGAAAAGGAGAGACCCAAGAACCTCAGTGCTCCCACAGTCACTCCCTCAAGATCAGCATCTTCCTTGTCCTCTATTTCCCTCTTCTGTCTTCTAATTTCACCCTTTCTTTTTGCCCCCCTCCCTCTTTAGTTCCTCACCTCCAGTGCACACATGCCAAAGGAATAGATGTCCACTGCTGTTGTAACATTAGTGACTTCTAAGAAAACAGAAAGGACTTAGTGAAACAGAGGATTGAGGACAAGGGGTGGCAGATAGGCCTTTTAAACATAATTGTATGCTAGTAAAGTAGACTATATAAGTTTTGGTTGTATTACCACTGTACCTCAGGTTATAAGGTGCAAAACACCAGGGCATGAGGACAGGACAGAGAAGCCAGGATGCCTCACCTCCATACTCCGGTGCAAAGAAGTGTAGATTCTTCTGCTCTTCCCGACAAGTCTTCACATGATTGTTGATAGTGTCAGGAGCCACTGGGAGTATGGAAGATACCCATAATCTGACCACCATCAACAAAGCATAGTCTCACTCCAGAGAGAGAGGCCCCCAAAAGCCAAATTTTTTTGAAGTCTCCTTTCTAACCCTTAGCAGACACAAACCTATCCCCTTTCTCATCCTGAACTACAGACCATACATGGACTCTACCTACCTCCCCCTTTTTCCTCACATCTGAGGACCCAAACTCAGGAACAACAAAGGATTCAGATAACATTAACAGACACTAGTTTGGGGCTAGTCAAGAAGTAACATATCTAAGGGAAATTTTTCACTTGTGACCTGTTCATCTTCCCATAGTCCCAAATTTATCTAATCTCTGATTACCATGAAAATATTCAGTTTTATTTCTTTCATCCACCTTTCAATTTAACATAAAACAACAGGCAGCCCTTCCTAATCTGAGAGGATTGGAGACCTTAGGAACTTGGATAAAAATGGTGAAGAAGCAATAAATATAACTGAGGAGGAGCTAGCCTCCTTCTTACCCACCTTTGCCAGAAACTCAAGAATCAGAATTAAATCAATACCCTTGAATCAGTTTTACTTTGAGTCCACCAAAACTTTTTAGACTCCTGTTCTACTCTCTTTCTCAACGCTACCTGCTACAGGGCTGCACGAGGAACCAGGGCCAGGCCTGATTTGGACTCACTCCAATCATAACAATGATTACAAGTCACAGAGAATCTGGGAGCACAGCATGATTTGGGGAACCAGCCTGATGATGAGGGGGAATATGAATCTAGGAGTAAGTGTCCAGCCAGGCAGAATCCACAGGAAACAAGCAGGTTATGGAGGGGCAAGCAGGTAGAAGGCTGACAGGGCAGAAGCTAAGCAGGCAAAATTAGGCAGGGGAGATAGGGGACCAGGCCTTGCTCCCACGACTGCATGCACTGGGCAGCCGCACAGGGAGCAAAGGGAGCACAAACAGAGCCCCAAGTGGGGCAGAGGGAGCTCTCACCATTAGCAAAAATCCTATGAAAGACTGTTGGGAACAGAGCAGCCCGTAAGCGGGAGGGAGGAAAACAGAGAAAAGTTGTGAGCGATGGAGCAGCCAAGCCCCAGACA